CCCTCGGGGGTTACATGGCGCCGTCAGTCCGGTGACCAGACCCCGGGGGAGTAAACGCGTCGAGTTCTGGCTCCCGGTCCCAGCGAGAGGAACAGCGAAACCCGTGTGGCGGCTGGAGATCCGGACTCCTTTTCCTCCTCAGCTCTGAAAACCGCCGCGGGCTCGCCGGGAGGGCCCGGGCGCACGCAGTGCTTCTCTCCCCGGTGACACTTTTTAGCCAAGGCGCGCTCCTCCGCCTTCCCCAGGGCTCCCGCCTCTTCGGGAAAGCTTGCCCCGTTTGTAGAGCGTGAGGGAGGGCAGGTCGGATGTCTGTGCCGGATGCCTTCTCTGCACGCACACCTTCCCCTGTGCTTGGGAGCCCCGAAGTAGTTCAGGCGCCAAAGAATCCGTGCCAAAACTTGAGACCAAAAAAACCCCACCAAAAATCTTGGGTTTCAGTAGTCCTGCCGCTCACAGAGTTCCTGCAATAATAATAAGTGCAAACACCTAGTTTGGTAGGGGATTGATTTTGATGTTTCGGAAGCCTAAGCAACAAGTTTATGTCAGGTTAAGGCTTGCTTTCTGCTTGATTTCAGGAAGCGATTCCTTAGGAAACTCACAGGGATAAATTGCATGAAGCAACAAAAAGAATGAATAAAGTTCCATCGATGCTGAAAAAAGATTGTTTATCTTAGTCTGTAGTGTTGTGCAGTAACAGTCAAGACTTACGGTTCTGGGAAGTAGCAGATCATGCAAAAAATTCACCAGGAACTTGGCGAATAGCAAGATCTTTGCCTCCCTTTTTTCAAAAGGTGGTCATCTCTTAGCGTAGCAATGGTTTAAGAAAAAAGACAATTTCGAAGGCTGAATTCTCAATTCCTTTACTCTATTTTCAGAGCAAGCAAAAGGCATTCTGGACAGCAGAAACTCCATTCAGTCCATAGAGCTGGACAAACTCAACTTACAGTTACTTTGGAAATTCTAGTCTTTTAAAGGCAGACCTTTTAAAATGTTGCAACTGCAAACTCTGTATGTGTAACAAAATAAGTACAGAGAATTACATGTCTAGAGGTATTCCAATCTCTCAGTCTGCCTTGTAAGCACAGGCAATACAAAATTCTTTGAAGTCATTCACACCCATAAGTAAATGCACAGGCGCCCAAAATACATTTTTTCATAAACACCGGTTGCCCTTTTTTTGATAAGCGGGTAGTTAATGTAATGAATGGCCATTCTGCTCAGAACACCTGAACAGAGCTGTTTCTTGACTTCAACTTTACTTTGAAAAGGACTTAAATTATCTTGGCTGAGTTTTATACCTACTCTATTTACAGCTATTCTATTTCTCAACAACAAAAAAAGAAGTATGTCCTGTTTGATTTTAGTACACTTACCTAAGTTATTGCCTGTTTTGGTAACGTGGTGTAATTTACAGTGATGTTAGAAAGCATCCAGCTCTCTTAGTTATCAGTTACCTTCCTCAGAGAAGCTGTCATCTTTGAAAATACAGGTTATTATTTTGCATTGAAATGTATGCAATTTTCTCTTCACATGAGGCTGTTTCACCAGTCTCTTAGTTGCGGTAACAATGATTTGCTGATTTGCTTTTGACTTTTGAGTTAAGGTTCAATCTAGTAGTTGTGGTTTGAGCTGGGGCAAAAGCGAGGGGTCTTCCCAAATGAGTGCTGGCAAAGCTCAGGTTTGGGGCTTTTTTGGTTTTTTGTTTATTTCTACTGGCTTTTGTAAGTGACAGTAATGGCCTTCTTGCCTGATATTTGGATAACTAAGTTTTTGCTAACAGAACTAATACACTTTTTCAGGAATTAAACAGAAAAATACTGACTCAACATAACTAAGAAACTGTCAGATATATTGAAAATACTAAGAAGAAAGCAATCCTTGCCCTATAAAGAGTAAAGGATAAAACCCTTCAAGAAAGAGCAAAATACTCTTTTTACAAAACCATTGAATTTCAGTGACAAATAGATTGAGTTTTGAGGGTTCTGTTGAGCTTTGTATTTGTAGAAACCAAAACATATTTTACTTTGACCCATGAGGAACTTCAGTCTCCTTTGGACTTCAAGATGAAGAACCTTTCAATAATAGTCTCACACATGTATCTTACATGTAATTATGTTTCAGATGTCAATAAGCGCTATATTGGATATTGAATAGACTGCATCCAGAACTGTTTGGTTGAAATCATTAACAGTGGGTTTTTTTGTTTTTTTTTTTCTCCTCAGCTTTCAGGTAAAGTGTATTAAAGGCAACAATGGAACGATTTGGAGTGAAGTCTGCTCCATCGCGTAACCGCTCGAAGACTGCTTTGTATGTGACTCCTCAGGATCGTGTAACCGAGTTTGGCAGTGAGCTGCACGAAGATGGAGGAAAACTCTTCTGTACTTCCTGCAACGTGGTTCTGAATCACGTTCGCAAGTCTGCCATCAACGACCACCTCAAGTCTAAAACGCACACAAAGCGGAAGGCAGAGTTTGAAGAACAGAACGTCAGGAAGAAGCAAAGGACTCTGACTGCCTCCCTTCAGTGCAACAGTACTGCCCAGACAGAGAAAACCAGCGTCATCCAGGACTTTGTGAAAATGTGCCTGGAAGCTAATATTCCACTTGAGAAGGCTGATCATCCATCTGTACGAGCCTTCCTGTCCCGCTACGTCAAGAACGGCAGTTCGATACCTAAGTCAGACCAGCTAAGGAAAGCATACCTGCCTGACGGGTATGACAATGAGAACCAACTCATCAATACCGAAGACCGTTGAGAAGAAAACTGTTTTCATCATCGTTGTGAAGTTTTACATATTGATGGTGTGGTTTATTTTTATATTCATGCATATATACAGTGTTACATATTGGTTTTACAAGCTATTTTGTATTATTGTAGAAATGACAATCTATTTGTGAACTTAGTGGTATGCCACAGACTGTTGCTAACCCTGCTGTAGACGTCACAGCTACATTGATGTAGAACTCGTGATGAATGTAGGGAACATACCCGGCATACACCTTACTTTACCCATGTTCAGTCCAGCCGTAACTGACGCTAAGAAAAAGGCACTTGGATGGAGGACCTCACTTACCTAAACTGTGCATCTAAATATACGAGGAAGATGATGCAATAGGGATTGTTAATCATGTCAGTGGATTGCTTTGTCCGGTATCCTGTCCATGAGTGACCAAGAAGAAGTGCTGCACGTTTGAAATGCAAGAAGCTGTACAATGGTTAGTTAAAATGTAACTGCTCTGTTGGGGGAGGATTATTGCAAATTCCTATTCAAGTTTGGTTTACGTTCATAAAACGGGAAACATTTTTCTTCTAGAATACTCTCCTACCCTATTTGGTGCAACTGTGGGTGTATTCATTATCTAGCTTAAATAGCTGGTCTCTCGTATTGACCTCAACTCCACTATTCTCATAAAGCTAGGGGTTCTGCAGGTTTACCATGCCTGTTTTTTTTTTTAAAAAAAATCTGTTTCATTGTCTCGGTTTAACATGTCCCCTTCAGTTTCAGTGCCAATCTTTGAAAATTGAGTAGACAAACCGGTAACTGAGTGTGGTTTCAGTGCAGCTGCTGGCAAGTGAAACTTATACTGGACCAAGATCTTAGTACAGAGGATTAACACCTTTTTCCTACTAGCAGGAAAAAGGATGCTAAATCTAAATTGTGGGAGGGACTAAATTTTGGAGTTGAGAAAGCTTTTTTACAGTGCACAGGAGAAGGGACTCCTCCATCTTTCATTGAAGGTCTTCTACATCTCTGGCCTCGTCCTCAGCCTTTTAGTTAACGGAGGTAAAGTGATTAAAATAGTTTTCAAAATAGTTACTGCAAAGGGTCTTCAAAACCTGTAAGCGCAAATAGGAAGGTGTATGTACTTTGAAGCTCTGCTGGTATTACAGACCTAGGCTGTTTTTCTTACCCTGTGCTAAGGCCACATCTATTGGACTGGCAAAAAGTAAAATGGGAAATTGAAGAATGTCAATAATGTTACTCTCTCCGAAACCTAGTAAACTATTACTGAGCTATTCCAAATTGTTATGCCAAACAGTCCACTCAATTAAGTGCTCTATAAAGTTTTTGAATAGAATGAGGGAGCGTTGTGCAAAGTGCTGGAATATGACCACCACCTGCCGGCTCTAGCTTTCCTGGAGATGCTCTGGGTGCAGGGAGGTGCTGAGCATCTTCTAGCAGCTCGGAAGTCCGCCACTCAGTGGACACGAGGGTGTCAGCATGCTTTAACTCCCTCAGGTGGAGCCAGTCCTTCTCTTCAGCTTCCCGTCTCCGGTACAGTTTCACAGTATCTCAGTATTTCTTTTGTTCCAGATATTTACAGCAATACTAAGTAATTGCTAAAAAGAGACAAGATAACCTGCTTATTTTGTTTCTGTAGCTACTTCCCTAGCTATTTCCAGAGCAGTCTCTTTTGCTGGACTGAGAGAGACCTACTTAGTAACAACTGGGTTTTGTGCAATTAGCCTCCACAGAAATTGCACTGTTGTTACATTATAACCATGTCTTCTAGCATTCTGCTACGAGACCTGTTTGAGTAAGTGAGCAAAACTAAAAAGCAGAAGGCTGCCGTCACTGTGTACCAGCACACGGGTACTCAGTGCACCGTTGCACCTTTGGTCCCTCTTGCAGCCAGTGGGACTCCATGCAGCCATAGCAATCCTGTCAATGATACTGGTTGCTGGTTTAGAACTTCAGACAAAAATAACAGTAGTAATTTCTTTCTCTAATCCTAGATACCAAAACATGCCTTCCAAAATCTCGTTTGCTATTGCACAAGCTTGGGTTTAGCTTAAGATCATGAACTGCCTTGGGCTAGAACTGTTGTATAAATCTTCTTAAGCCACGTGAAAGGTACACTGCCAATAGCCTTTTCTGTCCTGACAGTAATTGAAAGTATTCTTTTACAGCTGCTGTTTCATTACAGTGAAACAACATCCTTGCTTTAATTTAATTCTTTTTTTTTTTTTTTTTACCTTAGGAATGCTATCTTAGAATTGAAACAAATAGAAAACAATCGAGTTCTGAGAAAACAGGCTTCCATTAAACAAAAGCATCTAGAGAAGACTGTATGATTAGAAGGTATGAATTTGGGCTAGTTAGCTTGGTTCTTGCTAACATGGGATTTCACAGGCTGTGCCCCATAACCATTTTATATAGGATTCAATGCTGTATGTTATTCCCTCGACTGGCAAACTGACAGACATTTGAAAATTACCATGTTTAATGGTAACATTAAATAAGCTCTTGCACAACTGAAAAAAAAAAATCAAGTTACTTTCACTTATACAGTAATACATAAAAATAAAAGCAACATCAACAGCTTTTGTTAAAAAAAGAAACCCAGTCTTTTTCAATAAAGCAAAGCAGTGTTAGAACACTTAATTACTCAAAAGCCTACTCTACTTATAAAGCAGCCCGTGTACAGAGCCTCAGTTTACAGAATTAATACAATTCTGTAAGTATTCTCAGTAATTATTCTAATACCAGTTTATTTTTTATGCAGAATTACTGCAGAGGGTATGAGCCTGGTGAGGAACCTTACCAGTGTAGCCATAGGCTACCAACTGATAACAACTTGGAAGCAAAAATTGGTCATGAGGATTTTGAATGGAACTGACTTAATTCCAATGCCCAGCAGTTTATAGGACACTGGTGTCTTAATAATATGATATTTTTGTTAAAAAAAAAAAAGCCACAACATTTTTTCAAGCTTTTTGAAAATCAAGACACTGATCCATTGCAACAAACATTCATAATGGAGTAAAATAATGAAAAATAAAGCACTTCAAGGTAATCTAGAAAGACTAATAAGTTTATATTCATGGACATAACCCAGATCATCAACAAGACAGTTAGTTACACTTATTTTCTTTAAAAAGTAAAAAGGGTTCCACTCAGTCTTGGAACAGAGTCCTGCAAACACCAGTGTGGCTATAGTTGGATAAAGCATAACCTTGGTTTAATTGCTATTGATCTTGGGGTAGATTTACAGCAGAAATTTTCTGGTATATCTAAACCTAAGTAATAACCAATTCCTAGAAGAGAGGCTGTGGTTAAGTTGTTTAACAGTCTCCATGGGGTTTTCCTTTTTTCTGCAAGAACGCTGCATTATTTTTCCGTGTATTTCCTGTAAAGAGTACTCTCAGAAGTAAAGGGAGGATGGTAGCAATGTCTGCTTTTCATCTTACATATGTAGGTAGGGACAAGCTATAAGGGATACTTTTTGCCAGGTGGTTTTATTAATATATTTGAAGCTCTAAATGTAATATAAAAAAAAAAAATTATTTTTTTCTCTGACCATGTACTTCTATTAGTTTAGCCAACTCACAGCTAAAATTACTCCAAAGTGCTTTTCTTGGAACAACACTTTTGAAGAGTAAAATACAAACAGGAACATTCTCTGTTTTGTGACTACTTACATGTGCGCACCATGTTAGTTTCAGCTTGTGTGTTCTTGGAAAAAAGTGAGCAAGTTCTAATATTTTTAAGCACTTTGAAGCCTGTAATTTGGCAGGTCCCTAGAGGAGGTGAAGCATTTGACATAATGAAAGGGAAAGCTGTTTTTCAATTGAGAGAGAAACTTGGTTCTGCAAAGTATGGGATATTCTCATGATAGAAGGACTATTTTTAGCCAGACCCCCTTTTAGCAATTCTGTTGAACTCAACAGAGAAATGCTAAAATGTTCCCTGCAAGGTTTTGCAGCATAAAGGAGCTGGTTTTCAGATTTAAAAAAACAAACAAACAAAAAAAAAAACCAAAACAACCAACCAACCAAAAAAGAGCTGGAAGTTTGGCAAGGATAATCTCTATTTATATTTACATATAAAGAGAGGCAAGACCCACTGTTGTTGTGTTCACATTGTACTCATGGCTAACTCTGTGTAGTTTGAGTGCTCGTTGTCTTTGTACAATTTTAAGGTTGTGTCTAACTTTCAAAATAAATTTTTTTTTTTCTTAACAAAGCTTCTCATTGTAATAATGCTATTAGAGTTTAGTCTCTTTTGGGCTAGTGAAGATGCTTTATTTTTGGTTTGGTGGTAAGGATGTTTTGCTGATGGCAAGTGGCCACAGAAATGGTTTTATTTAAAAAAAGTTATGAACTTATGGTTAGATACTAGAGTGAGGCTGAAAATACCTGGGTCCTGCAGTGCCACAAGACTTCCTGTTAGAACAGTAAGACCGGAGTAAGTGATTTAAGTTTTTATATTAAAATGTTATTGGAAGAGAAATACTTTACTTTGTGAAGTTTTCACTTGGTATGGAAAAATGGTCCTTTAAAAAAAAAAAAATAATAAAGGGGTTCCTTTTTCATAGAATTTATGCATGATCTCTTATTTTGCCAAGCAAGCGGATAAAAAACATGTAGTAGTTCACATATAACGGGAATGTAAGATAGTAGAAATGGATGATGACAGGAAAAATTAAAGAATGCACATACTGTTGTTCTAGCTTAAGGTAACATCAAACTATATGTTGAAGCAGTTTGTTGGTGTATCTGTACAATCACACTGAAATTTGTTTCAGCACTGGTTATACAGCATTCCTGTTTCTTGCCAAGTATGTGACTTTCTTCATGGTGACAGAAATTCCCTAATTGTGCCTTCTGTTACAAGTGAACACCAAATGAAATAATTGTTATGCATTTTGACGTTGTGGTAAATGATTTGTAGGTATAGGATCTTGCAGCTGCCTAATGCTTCAGGTCTTTGCAGGAAGGGCTTCTGCAATGTGGAAGAATCAGGTCTTTCCAAACTATCTGCAAAAAGGTCAGTTTTATCTGTCTCCCTTAGGGACTTCATGAAAATTGAGCAAACAACATCAGCCCATCAAAATTATCAAGTGTAGATTTGATTGTTTACGTGTTCCTTTTCCTGAATTCTTACCTGGCTTGACATCTCATGATGAATCAGTGATAAACTCGTGCAACATCTTGACTCATGAATTTATTAATCATTACTTTCTCATTTTCAGGTCACAGCACATTAAGATCAAGTTGCTTTTTGTTGCCTTTATACCAAATGGAAAAGCAGAATAGAAATAAACATACCCTTTTGTAAAGTTTTCTCGTGTGGACAATTCCTCTTTGAAACGGCATATGTATACTTGCAAAAGCAACGTATCAGTAAGGATTTGTGCGGAAGCAGAGGCAGAATCAGGTGAAGGATATATTTAAAGTTTAGTAATTAGGCTGTGCTAAATTCTTACGATGACATTTTACTTTAAGCGAATCACGCTGTTTAACCCATATCCAAGATGCAGTAGGATGAAGTATACGTATCTGCTTTTAGGCCACATTCATACTGATAATTAGGTTTGATACCTGTCACTTACATAGGCTGGACAGCAGAGACTGGAGGATAGACAGTCTGTGGCAGTTCTGCTTAAGTCAGGTAAGGGTTTGGGGTTTTTTGCCCATCCCACTGCTTTTCTCTTTCCAGAAGGGGTTTGGAATTTGTGGGTCTTTGGGTGGTGGAAGCCACCTCTTTCATACACAAAAGTAGATGGCGCGTCTCAAGTAAAAGCACAAGGCTCTGAGATAGGATACAGAGAGCTACTGCAGCTGTCACTCAGGCTTGACAGAGGGCAGCCTCAACAGCAGCGTTGCCCCTGAAGCTAAATGTTAGCTAGCAAGTATAGGTAACACAGTTCTGTTGTATAAAATAGAAAATTAAGTACAAAATAGAAATTATAAACAATTGCTGAATAGCTAATTCAGTCTCCTTGAGTTTAGCTTTTGAGTGTTCCAACTGCACACTCACTTTATGTTTCAGGAGCCAGAAACATTTGAAGATTCAGTATTGCAAAAGAACATCTATTTTCTTAGATTTCTGCTAGACCTGGGGAGGACATGAGGAAGATGACCGATTTCGGTTAGTAGGCAAAGCCTGTGTTCAGCTGAGCCAAACAACAAGCAATTTAAATTTATTCATGTTTTAGATGTGTCTAAGTACTTGGGTGTCTCTACGTATTTTCTCCTGTCTAGTGGTGCACAGGAAGGGGAAGTAAAAGCAGAGGGCTACTTAAGTGCAGTGAAGGGACCAGTACTCTCATAGAATACATGAACACACTACAGTAAGAGTACACATCCGTTAGGAAGTTTCTACTGTCTTTCAGTGGATTCTTTCACTTTCTCCTCCTATCTGATCCTTTGGTTCAGTAAGAACTATTGTGTCCCGGAGGAAAATAAGGAAATCTTCCATTTTCTCCTAACCAACAGAGTAGCTTACAGCAATGCAGTGGAGAGAGGGTATCATTCAGCAGTTCTGTTCAAAGCTGGAGGAAAAATAATTAGGAGCTTTAGAATTTCTTAGGGGGGTTTTGTATATTGGTTTGTCTCAAGTGTTTTTTTATTCTGTCCTTCAGTGTACAGAATAGCTCCCAAATTCAGTATTAGATTTCACTGCAGTGAATGAGACCTCTTTACCTTAATTCTTCTGTAATTAGCTTTAAATTGCTTCCTCCCTTCCCGTATTTCAGAAGCCTGTCATTGCCATAAGAGGAATCCAATAACTAGAATACCCATGCTTACGGTTGGTGTTTTATATACAGCAACACACACACACACACCCCTCCGAGTAGATTCTTAACCAGCTCTATATTGAATGACCCGACAGCCCGTGTGAAAGCATTCAGGCCCCTGCTCAGTCTACACTTTAGAAACCTGGCACAAGATGTGTTTGTTGATTTAACAAAGCTCAGCTCAGCTCATTAAACTGAAATTGCTTAGGAAAAATCAGGGAGATGCAGAGAATCTCCTATTGCGGAAAACTGACAGCACTTGCACAGAAATGAAGTAGCTGATCCCTCCTTTGATGGGGAGCTAGGGTGGTAAGGCATGAGAAGAGGCTGCGTGGGCCTGCTGTGGCTCGGGGGGCTGCCCATCCTGCCGCTAGTTGCGTGATGGCTAGTGACAGGCCAGGAACTGGGTGGGAGGCACTGAATTATTGTTTTCCTTGAAGATATTAAAGCTTCTTCACGTAGTGTAACTAAGGCAACTTTCAGCAGACTTACTGGAGCCCGCTATTTAAATGCCATATCCCTCTATGTGGTTGGAGGCCAATGCCTAACCCACCCGCAAACAGGGAAAACGCAACCCCAAACCACAACCTTGTCTTGTCAGAAGAAAAAACGAGGTGGAACAGAAGGAATGTTGCATAGTTTGGGGGTTTCTTTTTCCCCACTTGCATTCATTAAAGCAGCAGATGACATGACAAAGCGGACTGAGTCAAGTGAAGGAAGTTTCTATCAATAGCAACCCTCAGGTGTTTTAAGACTATCTGAATTTTACTCCGTATTTTTTGAACCTCTCCCTGAAAATAGCATCCAACGCACACAGATTATTGGGTTTGAATTGCATTGAATTCTCTTAGTTCTTTAATACTTGGCATGTGTTAGGATTCAGCTGGGGTCTGATTTGCATATAGCAAAGAAGTTACCGCAGATAGTGGAAATCGGTGCCATCTAGTGACATTTTTTTTTCCATTTGCAAGTGAATTTTATCTTGAGTTAAATGTGTATGCCCCTCCCTCTCTTAGTTAAGCAGTTTTAGATTAGGACTCTTATTCTTTTCTTTGGTAAATAGTTATTTTATATTTACTTAATATTTACTATCCTTTGAAACATGCTTTTAAAGCAAAACTAGAATATGTTAGAGTCTCAAGCTCAGGGACTGATTTTCTCAAAAATTTAGAATTAAAGTTACCATTTGGAGATTTAAAAGATCTCATTTATAAACTTAATACTGACACAAAAATAAAAAAGCTCCCAGGAATGTCTCAAGGAGGTAAAAAAGTCTTAACAAAAAAACATGAACAATTCAGATTCTTTGTCATTTTCCAGCAATTCTCAAAAAAAAAATCCCACCAAAAAACCCCATAACCCTACTCTTAAACAGAAAGGAGATAGGGGAAATAATGAAGTGTCAGCAGAGATAGCAGAAGTCACCCTTACCAAAGCCTTTTTAAGAAAAGGGCTCCAAAACCACAGATAAGCATCCAAGATATTTGCTATCGAAAATACAAAGTGAAGAACCCTCACAAGCCCCCCGTACAGCACGCGGTACAGGAGATAGGTGCTCCTCCCTGCCACTCTGACCCACCTCACCTCTCCCGAAAGGCTAATGCACGACAGTACCTGTCCTAACGGTTCAGAATACTTCCACAAAGTTACCAACAAGGAATTATCCACCTAGAAATCCAATCTCAAGACATTGTAGAGAACAGGTAAAACCTCATCTTATGAAAAAGCTTCAGTCAGCAGCAAAGGACTCGGCCCAAAACAGTTCTTCCGATAAGAACACAGAGATTAAGGAGCAACTACTAATGTTACATTCCTAGTATAAACTTTGGATAACTCAATATTAACACAAGCAGAAATTACACTGCTAGGAAATGCATCCCTTAATGGCCTGTTTTATACCTAAGCTAGTAATGGATTCAGCCACTAGATGTCTTCACTATACAGAAATGCAGTCTGCAGTACCAGTATTTTGTCTGGAGCGGAAGCATGCTGTGTGCGCAGTTAGACGTAAGGAGTTTTCTTTCATAAATATTTTCCATTTAGGCTGGATTGTAATTTTTTTTAAGGCTATTTCAGTTTCTCCCAAACATCAGGGTGAGTCTCCCGATCATCTCGTACTTAGCCAGATGCTTCCAACCACGAAATTTTGGAAAGCTGTTCAATTATTTTCTTCAAAATCTTACTTGGAAAAAATCCTGATAATTTAGATTTTTGTTAGAGCATAGTATGCATATATTTTGTCCAGAAAGCTTGAATTATGTAGAATAGTTCAGTTGGAAGCCACCTACAACGGTCATCTAGTGCAACTGCCTGACCACAAGCTAAAGCATGTTGTTAAGGGCGTTGTCCAAGTGCCTCTGAAACATGACAAGCGTGGGGCATTGACCAGCTCTCTAGGAAGCCTGTTCCAGTGTTTGACCACCCTCTTGGTAAAGCTTAAACAGAAAGGAGATAGGGGAAATAATGAAGTGTCAGCAGAGATAGCAGAAGTCACCCTTACCAAAGCCTTTTTAAGAAAAGGGCTCCAAAACCACAGATAAGCATCCAAGATATTTGCTATCGAAAATACAAAGTGAAGAACCCTCACAAGCCCCCCGTACAGCACGCGGTACAGGAGATAGGTGCTCCTCCCTGCCACTCTGACCCACCTCACCTCTCCCGAAAGGCTAATGCACAACAGTACCTGTCCTAACAGTTCAGAATACTTCCACAAAGTTACCAACAAGGAATTATCCACCTAGAAATCCAATCTCAAGACATTGTAGAGAACAGGTAAAACCTCATCTTATGAAAAAGCTTCAGTCAGCAGCAAAGGACTCGGCCCAAAACAGTTCTTCCGATAAGAACACAGAGATTAAGGAGCAACTACTAATGTTACATTCCTAGTATAAACTTTGGATAACTCAATATTAACACAAGCAGAAATTACACTGCTAGGAAATGCATCCCTTAATGGCCTGTTTTATACCTAAGCTAGTAATGGATTCAGCCACTAGATGTCTTCACTATACAGAAATGCAGTCTGCAGTACCAGTATTTTGTCTGGAGCGGAAGCATGCTGTGTGCGCAGTTAGACGTAAGGAGTTTTCTTTCATAAATATTTTCCATTTAGGCTGGATTGTAATTTTTTTTAAGGCTATTTCAGTTTCTCCCAAACATCAGGGTGAGTCTCCCGATCATCTCGTACTTAGCCAGATGCTTCCAACCACGAAATTTTGGAAAGCTGTTCAATTATTTTCTTCAAAATCTTACTTGGAAAAAATCCTGATAATTTAGATTTTTGTTAGAGCATAGTATGCATATATTTTGTCCAGAAAGCTTGAATTATGTAGAATAGTTCAGTTGGAAGCCACCTACAACGGTCATCTAGTGCAACTGCCTGACCACAAGCTAAAGCATGTTGTTAAGGGCGTTGTCCAAGTGCCTCTGAAACATGACAAGCGTGGGGCATTGACCAGCTCTCTAGGAAGCCTGTTCCAGTGTTTGACCACCCTCTTGGTAAAGAAATGCTTCCTGATGTCCAGTCTAAACCTCCCCATTTTAACATAGGGGAGGTTTCATAACTGCATTAATTTCTTCCCTAGTTTCTATTTGTGGATGTTGTATTTGCATTATAAGCAGAAGTGATAATTGCTACATGCAAAGTTCTGTTCAACCTTAGTTTGGTTCTAACTTCATGAAGAAACTCTACATTGACAGAATTTTTTGGGAAGGTTCAGCTAGGTGATTCAGTGTTTTAGAAATACTTGGGGGAAAAAAAAAAGTGTTGAGGACATGCTGAAAAAGAACCCACAAAATCCAAACCCACATTACTCAGCCTTATGTTATGAGGATGCTAAGACTAAATAGTAGAAGCAATCATCTGCTACACTGCAGACTACTGTAAATTAATCTAACTCAAATTAAGACTATTCAGACATGCATTTCTTACATCTACCAGCTTGTGAATAGTGAATTTGGTCAGCTTCTTAATTTGTTAATCTTGAATTAGAGTAATACAAAAATGGCTGAACAAGTTTAAAATACTGTTGTGCATCCCTTTTCTCTCTGCTATATTGCTGCTTGTAAAACTGAAACTTCAATTGGAGGACCACCTTTAAAAAAAAAAACAAAAAACCCCCCAAAAAACAAAACCCCAAACCAAAACGTAAAACCTGCAGCTATGCCTGTTACACTGTAAGGGGAGCCAGAGAAGGATGAAAGCTGTTTTGCCTTGAATCGCAGAGTTCTGAGATGATGTGAAATGATCAAGCAGTTCACGTTTTACCACACACACACACACACAAAAAAAGACAACTCTAACCCGCCAGATTTTTGCAGATATATTGCTTCCCCTCCCCTTTTTACGCTGTCTTGACAGAAGAACTAGAAAAGGGAATTGGCTCAGATGTATACCCTGGGTAAACCTAACAGGATGTATGCAGACATCTGAACTGCACTTTTTAAACCTGTGGGAACCTTTTCTCTCTACCATGCTCAGAGAATGAAGGCCTCTCCAGTCATGTTGATAAAAAGGATTTTACTGTACACCCTCCTTGTAATGTTGGCTCAGAGCAACTATCAAGATTACGGTAAGATGTGGTCTTGTAATTTAACTTGTCTGTAGTTATTAAACATTGTGGAGAACAGAAACCAAAGCAGTGCTTAGTGTACCTTAGATATAATCTATGTCTTCTTTTATTGCCGTATCAGAGAATTCTAATTCAACTAAAGACGATGATGATGACAACAATTGAGAAATACTAGGTAACAGTCTAAACCAGAACCCCAGCACTTGGGGACCAAATGCCTCTTGCTTTGTGGCCAAAGGCTCTGCCTTCAAGGGGGTTGGCAGCATCCGAGCCTCTGCTTGAAATCCAGGAATCCTGCTAGCTCAGAACTAGACCCAGCAAATTGTCCTTACCGGATAAGTAGGCGTACCTTCAATTATTTAGCTTAACTCAATCTAATTTTCATCCCACTTTCAACCTCCACAGTTTTTAACTAGAGAGGTTCTCCTAACTTGGACTGATGCGAGAACTACACCATGCTCAGTGTACTCCTAACATTCTTTTGTTTCAAGTTCTTCCCTGCTAGTATTATACACGAAACATAAATTTTAGCATCGAAAGAAAGGCAGTCATACAGAAAGGATAACAGCTACTGTAATGGATGCGCTTAGCTGCTGTTCATACATTTCAGATATACCAACTGATAAACTGATCAAAATAACATTTGTTATAAGGCACTGCTAAAATTGCACAAACAAATCGAACCAGCTGTGTAAAGCTTAGTTGACATGCACGACTAACTCTGCAAATTTATAACATCTTTCGACACTTGTCAAAAGTTTTTATGAATAAAGCACATTATTAATACTAATAGGAAAGGTTAAGCAAGCATTCAGAGCATCTGCCTGGGAAGGGAAACCCCAAATGTTTGGCTTAGAAGACATGAATTACCAGGTCAGTTACATGCAGCTGTTTCTTCATCAGGGTGTGATCTGAGCTCAGGGAGGCTACTGAACTGCTTTACATCTGATTTTCAAGTGACAACCTCCTTCATACCCTAAACAGAAGTGTCTTCTTTTCTTGCAAGTTAGCTACTGTTTCTATTCACTTCTTTAGGGCTGCCGGTGTTATTAGCCCCTCACGCAATCACCTCTGTGCATCATCCTGTATAGTCCTTTAATAGATGGACAAACCCTCCATGTTCATCTGCCAGGTTCCTAGATACTGTTTTTAAAACAGAATGTAATTTCTGTTATGCTGCTTAGAGACAGACAGCGAGCGGCTGTCTGGTGCTTAGTTGCTGGCTGGGGTTAAGCCATGACACTAGGTTTGATTTTTTGGTCTACATCAAAACTACTTGGGTCCCTCTGAGAACAATACTATTTCCTTCTATACACCTGTATTACTACAAATATCAGAATCATGTTTATAGGAGCATTGCAGAGACAAAAGTTTTGCAAGTCAGTCTCCACAGAACCATGTTGTAAATGTTTGTTTGTTTTTAAATGTATTTACATTTTAGCCCTAAGTTTTCCAAGCTTGTTTTTATTTTGAAGGAAGCTGAAAATTGAAGCCAACTTATTTAAGCTTTGTATGTTGCAAATCTATCCAAAGTTTCCCGTACTCCTAACAGAAACAAAGTCAACCACTCAGATTTCATACAGAAAGTCAACAACCAGCAAATATTTTCTAAGTTAGGGAAGAAGTAAGCTTGTTTCTGATCAGTCACAAGCAGAAGGACCTCCTCATCCCAGTAATTTTAGTCCAGTTAGACCCCGTCTCCTTTGTAGCCCCAAAGAACAGGCTGTTCCCACCCAGTCCCACAAAGAGTGGTTGTTGCTGTCTGAACAGCATACACAAAATAAACAAAGCACTTCACCCCAATGAAAATAAACCCCAGCAAACCTTCCCTCGCTCCATGAAGTTCCAGCCAGTAACTAAGTACGTTCACATGTGGTGGGCTAATGGTGGGCACGGTTCTCAGCTCAAATAACACCTTGCTGTTAGACCTCCTTGTGGGATAGCCTGCACAGGCTAACATTTGGTTAAACAGGAATGTTCCATCTTTGAGTTTCAGTCATCAAAATATAAAGATGTGTTTTCCGCACTAACATGGCTTTCGTCAAGGCATAGTTAAGAAACCATGCAACTCTCTGTCAGCTACCTCAGCAAGCAGGTCAGCTTTATAAATACTACCACTGACAGAAGGAAAACCCAGAAAAACAAGACACCCAGAAAATCCTTCACTGTACACTAAGTAAACAGAAAAAGTACATTACTGTATCTTTAAGATGACAAGGGAAAAATTAAGTGAAAAGGACTAAAATCAAATTTCTATTAGCAAAATCACATTGTTCAAAAATCCAAATTGTGATATATAAAATGACTAAAATAAAATTTTACATCATTCCTTGAAAAGCCTTCTTTGAAGCTGTGGGAAGTCTGAAAGCGACTTATCCAAGAATCACTTAATATGTCTTCTGAAGTGCTTCTCTTTCTAAATACACCTTACCTAAATTCAGGGGGGGGAGCATATATTTCCACGAGTTCTCTTTTTTTTCTTTCCCTTTTTGTTGTCAAAATTAACACAGTCACGAAGATCTCAGTGTCAAATGTGAAACCCCAATAAATCAATGCACTTTCTGGTGTAGTTTTTGTACCATGGCCCTAATCAGAAACTTCCCAGAACACTGGACCTGAGTTAAAGCCATTAGCTAGTGCTTCGCTGTGTTCACAGACTGATCCAAATGCAGGATTCAAAATGAACTGTAGATGTTTGGTTTTTTTTTTTAATTTTATGAATTATCAACATTTTATACCTCAGCCATTATCTGCCCCAGGGAATGATACATATGACTTGCATTCTATCCCATCCCTTGTTCCTTTTTTTTTTTTTTTAAAAGGAAGGAAAGAGGAAAAACAAAGTAAAGATAAAACCTTTTGAAAACAAATGCCTCAGAAATTTCGTTAATAAGCTTTAGTTTACTGGAATTGTTCTGATGTTCTGAGTTCTTATATGACCAGGTGTGAATGACACCATTTATGATTTGAAGATTAGAAGGCTTTATTTTTAGCTATTATTTTTCTACTGATGGGTCAAGTTAAGTAAATGGAAAGCCATATCCATTAAACCTCTTTGGTTTGCTTAATAAGTCATGTCATGACTATGTTTTTCTAGAACATAAGACTGAGACAAAATTAAAATTGTTTTTTTTTTTTATAAAAAAGAAAGTATTGTCATGGGTATTTCCCTATTGTACAAGTTATGGAATACATGCTTTCATTTGGATTCCCTATCCTGGCAGTATACTGTACAGAAGATTTTCCTTACCGGTGCAAATCAATTCTTGGTGCAATAGAGCCTGGCTCGCTGTGGCCTGTTCAGGAACACGCTCAAGCAATCTAAAAGAAAATGGGCTTTTAGTCAATCTGAATTTTACCGAGGACGATATGTTACAGATGCTTGTACCCTCTCAAAACCTGCACATTCAGATATTCATCATGACAACCCATATGTGTGACGTTGAAAACTTAAGACTCGGTGTAAGACCTTGTAACAGGTTTCAGGTCTCAGCTCGCAACAGTGTTAAAGAAGGGTACCGAAATTATCTCAGAAAGCACTTGCACGTATAGAACGTGACTGGCAGACAGTCTCTACCACTGACTTCTCATAAGCCACAGGAGGCAGCAGATAGAAAAGAGTTAAGACACATTGTCACAGGAAAAGTATGTAAGCCATGTTTGTGCTCATTCATTAATTGAAGTTTATTTTGTGTTTGCCTTTCTAATGAGACCAAATCAACAGAAAATATTCTCTCTTGTTACCAGGTGTGTTGATTTCCCCCACCCCAGTGAAAAAAAAAAAGTTATCCTTCATTCTCTAGGATATTCTGGTTTATACTGTTCTTTAATCCCAAACCTTCACTGACACCTATTCTGGCCAAAGGGCCTTTACAGGAAATCTGTGAAAGATATTTTAAAAATTCACCTTAAATACTTAATTCTAGATGAAAAAAGGACTCAAATCTTTTTGGTTTTAAAAGGATATTCTCCACTACTTTTTATCCATTTAGAAATTTCTTGCCAAGCAAGGTGTGATTTGGGAGAGAGGAAAGGTTAATTAGAGATTTCAGGGCATGTTCATTATGAATTCCCACACTTAATTACTAGAGAAAAAAAGGACAAATTATAGGAAAAGGTTTTCTCTAGCCCAGATTTTTAGTTCAAAATAATTCAAACTAAGAATTTCCCAAAGCCTAAGAAAAATATTTTACTCTTATTCACTCAGCTCTGCTGATGATATCATTCTAGAAGGTCCCCAAATTGATGACTAATAAAACTTACCAAGGACTAGGTTTCTTCCCAGCAAAAATTTGAAAACCTAAAGCCCAAGTCATTCAGTCATCAGTCACTAACAAGTCACAGAAACATGCAAAAGCAATTGCGATTATTTTTCATGCTCCAAGTATTGTTTTGTAACAATTAAAAAAAAATAATTAAGGGCAGCTTAGAGTCCGTTTGCTTTAAGCCTCTGAAAGAAGGCTCTGAAGACAGTCTACAAATTCTTGTACACATCAAAAGGCAAGCAGTAGCTTTTGTTGCTCCTAGCTAGGAAATTTAAAAGATAGCTCAATTTGATTGACAGAGGGGAAAAAAAAAAATAAAATCACTGAATAAAATAGTGGTGTTTACCTAACAGCCCCAGGCTTCTTCCAAGGGATCCACAAATTATAACCAAGAAAATTAAATCAACCTTTAGTCAGATAAATTTCTTCTACCAAGTCTATAGCTACACTGGAAGAAAGAAAAAAACAAAAACCCCAAACCCAAAACACTATAAACTGGAAGAAATGGAAGACGAAGTGAAACCCAGTAGCCTCAACACCAATTATTTTAAGGGAAAAGAGGAAGAGGATTTGTAGGCTGGGGTTAATTGACAGCAGGCTGCCAAACATTTTCACCTGCATCAGCAACCCGAAATGAAGGCTAGGAGCCAGCAGACCAGTGTCAGGCAAGCTGCTACCCAAAGGTGCCCCTGAGGGCCAGCGGGACAGGAGGGATCTACTGCTTAGAAGTCATGGGCTGGCAGTGACACTATTGGGCTGGGTAGCTGAGAAAGCAAGGGTGTTGGAGTCAGGCCTGATAATGACAGGGAATTTTGCTCTGGAAACATAATTTAACCAGACCTGACTATATTGGAACTGTACTAGTAAGTGAATGATCATGACCGAAAGTGAATGATCACCAACAGCAAAACTGTGGCACCTGTTGGCATAGGTGCTTGGGGAAAAAAGGAGAAACGCTATTCAAGTTCACCTGGCTGAGCGATGTACCAGCACATTTCATTTGAACTCTCAAATGTGCAAAAGTAATACAAGTAGTACCAATGCCAGTGGAACTTTTTTTTAAAAAAAAAACCAAAACAAATTGTAACCAGGTAAATCCTTTGTTAGCAGTGGAATAGCTCCTTAGGACTTAATCAGTAGTAGTGCAGGAGGTTGTATGGAGGGAAGTTTCTTGTGATATCAGTGCGAGCATGTAATGCTTGAACTGCTTATACCTTCCACCTACAGAGCAAGGGCTGCACAAAACCTACTCTAGAAGTATATTCAGACCTCGGTAAGGCTTCTGCTCAGGAAATTAATATATTCCCACTGAGGATGTGGCTGGAGGGTAATTAAAAAATTTCTGTACACCCAGTATCACCCCTGTTCCCTCTCTCTGGGAAGTTCTGCCACTGGGTATTACTCTAGGTCACAGTGACCAGTGCAAGACAATCATTTCTTTAGGGCAACATTTCGCATCAATAAGACATTTCCCTTTCCAGCTACCTACACAAGTAGTGTTTGTGAATGCTTTTGGATGTACAAAGTTTGCTCAATGCTTATCTGGCAATTTTTCCAAAAGTGATGGTGGGCAGTGGTGTGTACTGTGTTGTAAAAGCACCAGGTAAATGATTCAAAATCAAGAAAAACATGACACCCTGCACTGGAAAAAGATGAGTGAAAGAGGTACAACAATTCCTGCCCCTCTCCCTGGATAATAATGATGCTGAATAACAGTGTCATTGAAATCTGTTTTAAAACTTTGAGAGAAATTGGACTTTTTGGACCTTCTAGAAAAGTTTTTGGGTTCATTTTGTTGTTTTTTTTTTTTGTTGGTTTGTTTTGTTTTTTCCTTAAAAGAGAATTTTGAAAAAGGTAACAGTATGATAAAATAATTAGATGAAGGACATCAGAAAATATCTGTTCTGCAGAGACCTGCAAATTCTTCTGGAAATACCAGTTACATAGGATTATATCAGAAAGAATGCTGCTATCGGGGCACAATCTGAGCTTTACAGATGCTTCCTGAAGTGTTATCTTCCATGGCAATCATTGCTTAAATAATTGAAACCTCTACTTTCTAATTTGAGCTTTTAGTTTCCATTTTCAGACTATCGATAACCATGTGCTGCTACTGCGGTAATGACCAAAGTAGATATGACCTACTTGCCTGAAACCAAATCATGCTTTCTTTTAATCAGAGGTGGAAGTGTCTGAGTGAAAGATGAGTGACCCTGCTTCATAACAAAAATATATCTTTCAGAATGATCCTATTCAGGGGAGCAGAAAAGGGACTAGATGGCGGGGCATGCTGACCTAACACCTAAGTGCTACCTCGTGAACACAGCCAGGCTCTACGTTGTTGCTACTGCAGTATATTCACCACATCATATATGCTGCAATAAATATATATATATAATGTATTTTAATATATTAAATAAATTTAATTATTTTATTCATATTAAATATCATACAGTGTTATAAATGTTATATTAAATAAATTGTTATTGCTACCACATCCAGATGGATGGTCCCTGGAAGAATATCTCTTCCTGTACACCACATATCTATTTATAATCAGGAACTGCTATTGAAGCAATGCTACGGCAGAAAGCAGATCATGAGTGTGTCATATATAAGTGGAGACCACATAAGAAATGCCATACTGCCTAAGCCCAGTGCTCTGGCAGCAACAAGAAGAAAGGCTGTTCAGTGAGAGCATGTGGGCATGGCCACTTTCTGTTGTCCATTCACCTCCTGTCCCCCCAGCAACAGAGCAGTTGCACTGGGGACATCAGCATGTACATCCTTCCCAAGTCCTTTCAGTATCCATTTATGGACCTGATCCACGAACTTCTCTACATGGCTACATACCTTGACATGTTAGAAGATAAATTCACCTACACCATTCTGACAGATGTCAGTGTAGGTTCTGTGGCCTCAGGGCCACCAGTGATGCAAACTCTACAAGCTTCCACAGAAACCAGTTCCAGTATTACTCTTTTCACAGTTAGGAAGTTTCTCAAACTATGTAATCAACCTTCCTTACTTCACTTTTAGCCCACTATTTCTCCCCATACCCAAGAGAAACATGAAAAAACCCAGATTATTTTATTCTTCTTTTATGACTTTAGATGATTTTATTATGTCCTTTCCTCTCATTACTTTTCTTTAAGTGAAACAACCCCAAGAATTTCAATCTTTTCTTGATGGATCACGTTCATGGTATCTGCTGGCTTCCTTCCAATATGGAGATACTCCAAGCATTGCCCCCTTCTTTCTTGAAGAGCAGTGCAAAAGCCTGGACAAGACCTAGGTACACTTACCAGTCCTTAGCAGGCCACAAAGGTTATCACAAGTCCCCTGTATATCTTCTTGAACTGAGCCCACCTTTTTACAAATAATTTCTCTAATTTATCTCATAAATCTGATTTACTGCTGGAAGTCTACTGATAGCTTTCTCTCTCCACTAACTAGTCAACTAATATTTTCTTAGTTTCACTATCAGTATACTTACACTTGATGTGTTTTCCTCAGTGCATCTCATTCTCTGTCATGACTTTATCAATGTTGCTCGGTTCTTTTATGCCCCTCCTTAATAACCTGACTTTCTTTATGATTTCAGAGGCTTCCTTCTTGTCTCAGTGAAAAGCTTGCTCATGATTTAGCCAGTCTTCTACCGCACTGCTGTAGTGTAGATAGTGCTTGTACTCTCATCATTTATTGGATGGACCACCAGCTCTGTTTATGTCCTTTTCCTTTGTATTTACATTGATGAGTCCTTATCTCCCAGGTCTCCAAACTTACTAAAGCTTTCTTTGCCAAACCCAACTATTTTTATTCTGCTGCTCTCCTTCCTTCTCTTCTTAGGGATACTGAATAAATAAAGGCTTCTGGTTGCCCTTGGGTTTTGTCCAGATTTTTCTCATTAGTAAAAAGACATTGTTTGTACCCAGAGCTATTGCCCTCCCTGTTAATTTTCTCATGTTCATCAAAATGATCTGAATTTCCTCCACTTGCCCCTTCTGCAAGGACTAATTTTAAAGTCCTTGCCTAAGGTGCTTGCCTGTGTGCTTTTGCCACTCTACTCACCCCACTTTAATCCTCTTGTAAAGCTATCCTGACTAAGGGAAAGTTGGTATACAAGGATGATTTCAGGTCTGGACCTCTCAAAGCAGAAACTTCCCAGCATGCCAAGTCCTGTGAACAGATGAGTTTTTCTATTGCGCATGGCAGAGATATATCAGAAGCCAAGATTTCTTGCAGTGGCTGCAAATAACAGCTGTACAGTGAATATCCTCTTCCTCATTATCAAGCAAGATCAGGCATATTGATGGGGCAAAATGAGAACAATGTTAAAGATTTAGGTTTAGAAGCAGATGAGTGCCACCTAATTTTTAGATACCCATTCCCAGCATCACCTTAGAGAGAGTAAACCAAAAAATCAACATCAGCAAAGCATTAACTCTGCTATAATGAAGGCTATGAACACACTTATGCTCCAAACTCAGTATTACTGAGTGCTCTACAACTTATTTACGGTGCGGAGTAGTCTGAGATTTGTAGAGAACAGGTTCACAAACTAGAGGTCATACGTGAGAACTCTTGAATATATTCAAGCTCTTGAATATATTACCCAGGTATTCACAAGGATTGCTATATCACACGCATAAGAAATCCTAGCTGACGGTGAAGGTGAGGCCTTCGGTGCCACCGTTACATGTGCTGGCTGCTGACAGACAGACCCCCTCCTCTCTCTACACTGCCCTTTTCTCCCCTACACATTTCTCCTCCCTACAAAGCTTACCTTCGTCATACTTTACCTTTTATTCTACTCCCCTCTATCAACCAGAAGATATATTTAAGATTTCTTTCTCTGGACTTGTGAGCAATCACTTTCTTCAGTGCACAAGCACCCTACTGTAGGGTAGGGAAGTAGGGGCACATGAGTATCACATGGTTTTTGTGACTTTTACTTAGCCAGAGAAATAAAGCACCACAAGAAACACGAATCTTTAATAAAAGGTCAGGACATTCAATACCAAGACCCAGAGTTAAGGTAACATACCATAGCTTGAACATTGAGTTTAACAAAAGATAACAAAAATAAAAAATAGAGATAAGGTATATTTGCATTGAATATAATTATTTTCATTACTTAAATTATAAAAAAAGCCAACCAAAGAAAAGCCTGTACTTTTGCAAGTTAAAAAGAATTGTGAAGTAAACAATAATCTGAAGTATATCTAAAAGTAACAGGAAAAGTCTGTGAGAAAGATGACACAGGAAAACCTGCTATGTATGTTTTATGTATTTTATTTCTAAACCAGCAAATTTCTAACTTGACTGAGATATAGAAAAAAGGGAAAAATTCATATCAGAGGGAGAAGGTGCATTTTAACAATCCTTGTAAACTGAAAGCACCAATAGTCTTGGTGTTATCTGCTATCACTGCCCCATATAGAGATCAGATCTCCTGCAAGTAGACAAGGGAAGTCTTGAGTAATGAGAGAGAAGAGAAACTGTTATTAGTCTTATGGGGAGTACACAGCAGACTCCCACCAACATGACTTTTGTTATATTTTTCTTCTCTTCTAGGATCTGATGCCGCCTCCTATTGTCCAGTTCAAATTCAAGTTAAAAGAAACTCTGAGTACAAAATTAATCTCGGGAACTCTTTAGTTATATACTGTCCAGTTCATTACTGCAGCAAAAAGCCAGCCATGCGGTGGTGCAAGATAGAGGTGGATACATGTGTGCTGCTGAAGGACAGCAAAACAGAATGGAATTCCAGCGTGTTTACTCTGGAGTTTTTCTCAGTTAATCAGAATGACAGCGGAATTTATCGTTGCCAAGCAGTAGTGGACAACATTTCCAGCGTGAGCCATGGAATAAAGGTTGTTGTTGAAGGTGAGGACCCTATGTTATGAAAGAGTCCTTTAAAACAAAAGGATGCCACGTACAGGAAAGCTTATGCATGCTGGACAATATGTTTCTCCCAAAATGTTTGTCTGGTAGCACAGTTACGGTGGTACCTACCACCTTCTTCATGCTTCTGTCCTACCTCTTGGTCCTGGGGAAAGGAAATAAAATAAGGAAAGAACAGGAGGATCCAGAAGAGAAAAGCAAAGCTACCAACACCAAACAGCCATAAGTGTACTATTTGATAATAAAAAAATACCAATTGGAATACAAAAATATTGTGGGAGGACAGTCTGATTATACTTCATGTGGACTAGGCGGGATGCAAATAGTTGTGTAGTAGCAGTCGATGAGGCCACACAACAGTAAAGAGGACAAAGCAACTCAAGCATCTCACCGAGAACGACCTCTCTTGCAATGAAGTGTAGTTTTGTACACAAAAAAGTTCAAAAGCAGGAAAGATTGTAATAGCTTTAAATGATATTGAGGAGTTAAGTGCAAGTGAGGCCTTCACATTAACATTTGGGATGTCAAGTCTAGATCATGACAAGCCATGCTTGCCCTCTTCAATGTTGCACTGCAGCTAGAAAGTGATCTGGGTGGCCATGGTGTCCTACTGACCCCAGGCAGCTGAGGTGTACGATTGTTCTGCTGCCGGTTCCTCTTCTGGTAAGTTTAAAACCTTGTTTGTTGCTACATGATATGCTGCAACAGAGGGAGCAACATCAAAATTTATGGCTGCAATGTGCTAGCAGGACACAGTATATACCCAGCTTATGATGTGAGTTTACTTTGAAATATGTGTTCTGCTGCTCTATTTACTTGAATGCCAAAGAGGTCTGGAAGTTCGAATTACTCTGTTGGCAGTGGGAGACCAACATGTCATTCCCCCTCCCCCCCAAACACCCTACCCTTTGCTTGTTGCATTTTGTTCCCTCTTCCATCAGCAGATTGAAGGGGAGCCTTGTGAAGACTTCAGTATGCGGTGCAGCGAACACAATTGCAGTGCAAAATGTCAGGTTGCTCTCTCATTTCCCTGTCTTCCTTTTCTCTTTCAGAGAAGTCAGCAAACTTTATCACAATTTCACCAGAAAGTAAGTTCTGATTCTTATTTCCTCTTTAAGAGAAAGGAACTAATCTGTATTGCTATGAATTTCTGGCCAGAGTGTTTTGTTCAGTCAAGACAAACTCATTGGTAAATGACAATGGCTTTCCTCCCTCTTGAACAAAATACAGTCTCTCAAGGGTCACAGTTTTCAAGGCTAGGACTGTCCAGCATTCAGCGTAAAAAGGGCAAAGCCAATCAAATTACCTCCTGGTGGTATACTCTACACTTCTGGCATGCTCTTTAATATCCCAGCGATATATGGCTTATACTTATGAGGTGCTAGGAATCATGCTATACTATCACTTTAACGTGGCCCGAAGTATGGTTTTGACTCACGGTTGGTTACTGTTCACAATTACAATTGCAAAAATACATTGGAAGTTCAGAGCAGTGCTGTAATTCTGACCCTTTGTTTGCTTCTGCCATGCATCCTTCATCAATTACACTTTCCCATGCACTTTTCCTTCCAGTATCTTCATACTTGGCAGAATGACCATGGAGATGGTGATCTGATGACATGCTGTACCGAGTTAAAAAATGTTTGAGTACATTAAGAAGCCAGTTGCATCACAAAGACCTAATGCAAAAAGAAGAAAAAAAAAAAAGCCAGTCAATTCTTTCTCTATGCTAATACATGTTAATGCAATTTTAGATACCACTAGTATCTCAGAAGACTCCCAAGAATCTGGAAACTACAAGACATTGCACATTATTTATGCTTCAGCATCTGTGGGTCTATGTTGTCCATTCATTGTCGCATGCATGTTTTGGCGTCTAAGGAGGTACCACGGTGAGTAGTTCTACCACCTAACTTTTGCCTTGTATGCATTTGATTCCACTCCTTTCCACAGCTTCACAGAAGTTGCATTCAAATCTTTACAAAAGCCCCCTAATAATTACCCCAACTGATTGCTGAGGTGCCCTTGTCGAGTGTGCTAGTTAGGATACTGAATCTTTAAGAACTTAATTTGCCCTGTGTATTGTTCCCTTCCAGAAACAGAGGCATGGAAGTAAAGTAAGAACATATACAAATCTCAGAATTTATAATAGTTAGAATTTTTTCTCCCATTTTGCAAATAATCAAGTTAGAAGCGAATAGCAGTTTTAGCCATGCAAATGCAGTCAAGCCCTATCCAGTTACATTTTATATTCCTAGTTTTCCCTCTAAATTATCAAATAATTTCAGTATTAATCTCTCCTGCTTTACAGGAACATTTACACAGCTGCCATGTCCTAAATCAGGAATGGAACTTGGAGTTCCCCATATCTTAATTTAAGTGATCTTGCATTTGCCTATTGTAATCCCATGACTTTTTTTTTAATTTTAGGAAAATTAAATTATTTCATCTTACAATAAAATTTAACACGTTTGCTCATAAAACGGCTTTAGGATTTTCCGTGCTTTTTTCTCCCCAGACAATTGACTGAACATGGAGAAAACTGACCACAAGTACTCTACACATTTTTCTGCTCCTATTCCCAGGAGCATTGTGGAACACAGAAACTCATTCTATAAATATATCATTCTGTGTTGGTTGGCTTTTGTCAGAATAGCTATTCCCAAATCCAGATTGGAAATAGATTTCTGTTCTTTGAGGTCCACTCAACAAGCCAAGGACTCCTGTAGTAATTAATACTCCTTCCATAAGCAAAAGGACACCTTCTCACTGCTGATTCATTGAAACATCTTTTTTTTCCCCCCTTTTTCCCAGCAAAGAAAAAGAGAAGTCCATTAACTCCACAGAGACAAGAGAGCCTGGTAAGTTTAAATTTTGCCATCATCGAAACCTGACCACGTCCTGCATAATCACATACTGAGAACAAATCTTTGGGTAGTGCAAAATGTGGCATAGGATCAGAGACAGATTTAGTGACCCTCTTGGTGCCTGGACAGCTTGGCTTGCCCGGTGTGAGATACCACTGTGGCTGAGCTGAGGGAAGGAGCTCAGGGACTCAGCCACAAAGGTACTTTAGTTGTCTAAATTCCTGTTAAAAAGTATTAATTTGTAAGTACCATTCCAGTAAGGGTTTAGGCACCTAAAGCACCTCTGTTGATCTGGTTAAGACTGTCTGCGTAAGACAAAAAAATGACCCACAGAACGAGGAAAATGTATGAAAAGAACGACTTTCATATGTGGCTAGCATGAATTCACACAGGTCTTGCAGTCAGTTCCAGAGAAATCAGATGGGCAGAAGGCAGAATGCCAAAGATGTGACTGGAACTGACAGCTATCAATCACAGGGGAAGCATTGGTGGGAATCCAAGGATACCAAACAGGTTGCAGGGCTCCCAAAGGGCAAGTTGGAAGAAAGTTAAAAGCAGTATATTCTAAGTGGCTAGAAAAATGGATATCAAAGGAGGACTTCATTAGAGAGAGATGAATTTATAGAGGAATTTGCAGATTTTGGAGGAGGAGACTTATTTAGAAAATAATAAGTCAAAGAGGATGAGAAGCAAAGGATCAGGAAATGGGGGAATAGGGGAATTAGGAAAAGGTAGTCTGGGGTTTGGAGGTAAAAATAAGAAAGACTTCATAAACTGAGAAGGGAAAGCCTTGAATGAGTGGCATAGAAGAGCTCTCACAAAATGATAAATCAGTTTTGCCTTACGTTGGCATCTTGCAAGAAAAGACATGAGAGTTTGGGAAGGGAAATGGAGAAAGTCAGGAGATACAAGGATGACTTCTAACTTTATTTCAAAGATCGATATAAAATCCAGTGACCAGGTGAATCCAATACGCCTGTGCTCAAAAGGCAGTTTTGAGGGGATAAAGCAACTTGAACAAAATCTTACCTGCCCCTTAATAAATAAAGCAGGAGCACAGGCAACAACCATAGATGCACAGAGCTGCACCCTCTTCTGTTTTCTGCAGGTCCGAAGTCTAGCAGCTGCTCCATCCCATGCTGCTAGCACAGCTCAAGGTTCAGAAGAAAGCTCCTCGCTTTACTATTGCTCCATGGCCAGACCGCTGCAGGCCTTGCACGGCAACCCAATTTATGACAACGATGTCCCTCCCCGGAACGGTCAGGGGACAGTGCCGAATGCACCTCGCAATGATACTGTTATGCCTTCCTACCCAGTTTTACATGAAAGCCCAGATGTTCTCACGTACGCCACACTAAATCATTCTGCTTCTGCAGAAAGAAGCCAGAGAAGGCAACTAACTGTAGAAAATGAATTTACAGAATATGCCTGCATTAATGTAAATAAATAAAAGTGGCAAGGACTTCTCCAGACAACCATTTTGCATGCAGTCCCACTTCTAACTTCCCTCCAGGATGTTGTTCCTTTCCCTTTCGGGAAGACTTCCCTTTTGTTAAGAAGAACCTATGGATGCTCCCCTGTAATGCCAAAATTCAAAACACAGCCCATGTCGATGGGTGGGTGTTTGCACTGTGTGTTTGTCTCTTAAATGGGGGAATAAAAACTAACAGTCAGCTTTCTTATTTTTCCTTTTTTCAGGATTCTGCTTCTAGCCTGATTTTGATTTGGTTATGGTTTGAATATAGACAAAGGGGAGAAGAGGAAGGTTTTCATAGGGTAGAAATGTATAAAGCGAGTCTGTGAGGAAGATGATATGGAGTCAGGTTAATTTCTCCCAAGTAAAAGCTAAGAAAATTTGTGGGAGAATTTTTCTCTGAGTTTCTAAGAACATCCTTCCAAGGATTCAGTTTGTCATTCCAGTTTCCTCTATTTCCTTGCAAAGTTCTTTGAGCACCATGAATGTCTGAAGCTATTATTAACCCAGATCAAGTGAATACTTGTGTGTGTTTGGTTTTTGTGGAAGACAGGGAAGGAGAAGGTTTGTTTTCCTCTTACAAAGAATTCTCACAAATAATGTGTGAGAAAATATTGAAATATTGTGCACTCTGTTTTTCTCTCAGTGGGATGACTGGTTAGCTAAGTTATTGCATATTGCTTTTGTCCATGATGAATCAATGGAATAACAAATGATGAGCAGTGACTGACCCCAGTCAAAATCAAAAATTTTTGTTCACAAATAACTCTGTATAATTGTGTCACACTAAGTTTTCCTTCCAACAGTTGCACAGAAAAAGTGACTATGCTTCATGCTCAGGTTTGTGGGGAAAAAAGATAAAAAGGAGGTAAAGACCAAAGTGTCATCTGAAGTTTGAAAAGAACGCTCATGCCCTTCTTCTGCACCACTTATTCACCTCCAGCTTGGATACCTTGCATCTGCTCTTGCAAAATAATGCTCTTAAAAATTACTCTTAGCTATATTTGCACCAGGGGTTTACAGCAGCAAGTAGAGAGTCTTTAACTTGATTAAGAAATTGCACCACAGTTGAAAGGGAAGGACGTACTAGGTCTCAGGCTGCGGGTAACACACCGAATGATTTGCACTCAAGTTAATGGAAGAAAGTAAGGATCTTCTGTCTTCATATTTCATCTTGGTATCATTCCAGCTAACGCCAAGGCTGTTAAGCACATAAGCATTCACCCTGCTATTTTGGTAAGCTAAAGGGTTTATTATGCTTATGGCACACTTCTGCTTTACCTCCCCTCCTTTGAACTCAGTCACAGTATCTGTGTGGACAAAAATCCATAGTAATGGTTTCTGCACTAAGTTTCTGCACTAAGTTGTTAGTCCAGGCCATTAGATATGTTGATTTTTTTTGTTTTTAAATATAGAAATTATCATTCCAGTAAATCACTGATAATCCTCATTTAAAAAAGGTAGTAAAAAAGCATCTGCTAGAAAAATTCAGTTTGCTCTGTTTGCTTTAGTGGGCCTGGGCCAGTCCTTGTACTGCTAGAGATTAATTATTTTAAGTGAAGGACTGGAAAACTTGGAGCAAGTTACGTATGAATAGGCCCAGAAATAGACCTTTAATTGCATATATTGTTCAGCTGATAAGTGTACCATTATTTTTGTGGACTAAAAGTAGCTTTCAGAATAAGGAAAAAAATGTTTCTCTGAAACAGATTCTACCTCAGTGGTCTTAAACTGAAAAACAGGGGCAGCCATTCAATGGAGAGCCTAAATGGACCTGAACAAAAGGCATGAAACTTCTCTAGTTACTTTCCATGACCTGGATATGGGCCCTGCGGCAGAAGGGAAAGAATAAGGCAGCCATCCTTCCAAAGAACTAGTACATGTGAAACAATACAGTTCCTGAAGATGCTTTGCAACACTCTGCCCATACTGTAATACACATAGGGAAGAGTCCAAAGGTCCTCAGGAAGGCAAGGAAAGGTGCTGGGGACAAGCACTTTGCCTGTTTGAGTTTCCAACCAGCTCTGCAGTGCATTCATCGTGGCACACACGGTTTTCCATCTGTCACCCCAGCGAGCTGAAAGCATCAACAGGTCCATTCAGAGCAACCCCAGAACGGCATAACCTGGACCTAGAATGAGACCAAATGCATGTGGAAGAAGTATTGCACTGTCAAGAAATGTAAAGGCTAGTGAAATCCTTAACATGGTTTATTTCACCCATACAGCAAGGCTGAACCTTGGCTTGATGAGGTCCCCAGAGGGCCAAGTTTGATTTGGAAGATGAGATTTTTGCAGATAAACAGGAAGTACCTCACCACCATCAAACATGCTAGTGTAGAAAAGCAAAGCACAGGAGCCTGCAATAGCTTCATTTTTTTTTAAGCCAACAAATTGAAAGACTGTGCCTTTTGAAGCAGGGAAACAAAAGGTGCTGACTGAAACCATCTGCTTTTTAAGGTGCAGATAATCCATTCAGATAAAGTACAGTATTGCTCAGTTTTCACAGCCTTTTGAAAGAGCAGAAAAAAGTTGTTATTTCCACTATCACGTGTCTGTCAAGCTGGCCAGGGGGCAGAAGGACTGTGTGCTATTTCACTTAAGGTGTTATGTGTTCATCTCAGTCATCTACTGCACCTCTCAAAAATATAATGTCACATTTGAGACATCACACCCAATGTCGGCTGCGTTAAGGCTCAGTAGATAGCCTCCAGATTTTACAGAGCAGCGTCCTACTCGAGGGGCAGGACACCAGTGGGAGCAGAGCAGTTTCATGATTTGCCCTGCGTGCTCAGTGCGTGACTGAAAGGAGCCAGTACTGGCTTAAACTGTGCAGTGAAACCACACAATCACAACAGGTCACTAAAGGAAACAAACAGGCTCAGGACCCATTCTGTGGGAGATGTAAAGTACCTGTGCAGCCTCCCTAAGACACGGTCCGAGGGCCTCCAATTTATATTATATAATTTTCTGCTTCTTGTCTTTCCTTTGCTATTTTTGCACCAAATACAGTGTACAGGTATAGTCATACAGGAAGCGCAAAGAACAGAAACAAAGCCGTACTGCTCTCAGTTACACCCACAAACCCACATGGAAGGAAAATAGCAAAGTCTGTGGAGCTGACGGTCTGTTAATGCCAGCAAAGTACGTTATTGCTCTTCACGGCAATCTCTTCTTGCAAGGGAGAGACATGTAACCGGTTACTCCCTCCCAGGCAACCTGCATAGCACACAAGCCTGTAAGACAGGCTTAGATGGGATGAGTGGGCTCTTAGACAATAAACCACATCAACCATCCCAGTGTCACTTTATCCAGTTATTCCTTCCCCCAAATTATGCTTCCTTATAAGGACATAAAAAAATTAGAATAGCATGAAGTTTATTCATTTGCCAAGTCTTGGGCCCCAAAGGTCTATCAGACAGGGGACTGCTTTCAACAAACCAAACACTTTTCCATATTGCTAGATCAAGCAACAGCTTGCCAAGCCTTGGTTCTCCACCTACCTGTTTCACAGTACTTCCCCCCACGTCAGCCTAAGCCCCATTTTAGCTCATAAGGCTCACAGGCAGTGAGGAGAGTGCAGAGGGGAGTGCTACAGCTAAAAGCATGTGAGAAGTGGTGCTTGCGCCTCCAAGAAAAAGGCATTGTCTTACATTGCTAAGTTTCCTGCTGCTTTCCCCCTAAGGGAGTGGCAAGGGCTGTAAGTTGTAGGACTGCTCCCAAACCCAAAGAAATAGGGTGTATAGACAATGTGTGTTCCTCAGTTTGCCTGAGCTGCTCCACCTAGGTCCTGCTGTTCCTGCATTACCTGCACCTCTAAGGCAGATGGAAATACAGGATGATTTGGGACTCAGCAGCCAAACTCCACACCAAAGCCTTGCTCCCTGCACCCCAGCCATTCCCCATGCTGCCAGCTTGGATCTTTCCAACCTCCAGGCAAGTGCTAACATTCCCTGGCTCTCCCTACATGCCATGTCCTCACTGAGGGACAGAGGATGCAAGCCTGGGAGCTGAGCCCTGGGACCAGACCCCAGCACTGGCCCAGGTGTGCAGGCAGGTTGAGGGAAGAGTCAAATGTCCATTTCCCTGCCTGGGCTGTTCCCCGTCCTGCTCCTTGCACAGGGTTCCTCATTCTGTGGTCTCCAAGGCTCCACTTCCTTACCCATTTCATACCAACAAGTGTCAGCCCAGTCAAATTGGAACCAGAAACAGGAAGAGACACATGGACGGTGGCCAGGGATGAGAGAGGACAAGATTTCAAGGGGAGAGAGCGAGCAGGAGAAGGAGACCCTGAATGGGCACCCAGAAGAGGATCCCCAAGGAAGACCACCAGAGCCTAGAGGACAGCAGAGTTAGCTATGAAGCTTGAGATGAAAACAACCCCATGTCCCTCAATACAGACAAAGTGAAGAAATTGCCTTTTTCTGTGAGTTTTAAGTGGCAACAACTATATTCCATTAAAAAATGCCTACACTGGGCCAATCCTGTTCATGTGCAATTAATTCCTTCTCACCTAATGAAAAGGAAAATGCCTTAGAACCGCACAAGCCCACATTTCCATCCACGCACGTCAGTGGTATATGTCAGCCGCATGAATCAACTGCACCCGTACTCTCATTTTGTCACAGGCGCTCTGCAATTACCTATCTAGCCTGAACTCAAATTTCTAACTCCTGTTCACCTTTCTGCCTTCTCATGCGCACATACACACCTCTGGGGACCCATGGATGGAGCACTGCTGCCATAGTTCTAACTCCTGTTCACCTTTCTGCCTTCTCATGCACACATACACACCTCTGGGGACCCATGTTACTGTAATATACTGTAATATAACTACAGCAACAGGGGATAATCAGCACTGGAAACACTGCTAGGAGGCTGAGCTTCTAACTAGCATGAACTCCTCTGCCTGTGAGAGAGAGGAGTTCATGTTATAATGGACTTGTCTAATTAATTATGCATCTTGCATAATTGATT